GGGCAGTGTCTGTGAGCGCTTCCAGAGAAACGCTGCGCCGCCCACGGTGCTGTGTCCACCTCACGTGGCAAGGACTTGGACATCGCTCCAGCCACCCCGAGCCATCGACACATTCTCGTTTGCCATCTCCCCCATCCCATAATAATAAGCACCTGTTTGTGAGGCCATGGCTCAGTCAGGGTCCTGTGGTGACCAGGATCAGGACTCAGCCTAAAGGATTTGGATTCAGACTGCATCTAGGCCCTGTATGAGCATGGCCTCGGGCTTAATCTCTAAGTAGTCTTAGGGCTCAGTTGGCCATCCAAGATCGGGGCTGAGTCTCCACGTGGATCGGGGCTCAGTCGATAACCAGCATCAGGGCTCCTTCTGTTGTCAGGGTCAGGGCAGAGTCTGTTTTTCCTTGGGAGAGTTCTTGGAGGCAGAAACCAGTTCGTAATCGTCTCTCGTCTCACGCGTGACCTTGTTGCACATGGAGTTCTCAGACGGTGTCTATTAAGTTGAACCCCGCCAATTCGAATAAAAAATGACTGCAGTTTTTGCAAGACTGTCTTGTGACTGAGAAAACAGACAAAGGGCATTTTCTGAATGACCATGTGTGGAGTGCTGCCCTGTAGCCCTTAAAGGTAATGAGCTTCTCATCACTGGAAGTGTGCAAGCACAGTCCCACATGAAGCTGAGGGAACAAGGGATTCTGTCCTTGCAGGGGATGAGCCATGGCTTAGAGATCTGGTTCGTGGGCATCCAGCTCCAGGGCACCAACCATCATGACAAAGAATCTGCACAAACAGTGCAAATAGCAGCTGCCCAATCCGTAGCCAGGGGCCAGTCCCAAGCTTCTGATTGTTCCCCATGTCTTCAGCTCACCAGGGTCAGCTCCATCCATCACCAACGCTGCCTGTCATCAGCCCTCTGACAGGCCTCTGGCCGCCAGGGTCTGCTGCTTGGTGAAAGCCCTTATTAAAATTAATCTCATTTTTACGACGGCACCATCTATCTTCTGTCCAGTGGGAACTCAGGGGTCACTGTATTTTTGTTTACTGTCAGCCTACTTCCTTTGGCCATAAATTGCTTTCCTTCCCAGCTGAGCTGAAGCCCTAGAGACCAACCCCACTTTTTTTTTTTAAGTCAGCTCTGCTTGCGTTGCCTCATTTCTCTGGCCTCTGCTACTGTCCTCCATCTGCTCTCTATTTGGGGAGTTTAACGATTTCAGTTTTTCCTGTCTCTAGGTGGCAGCCACCCACACTCTGGCCTCTGTTTCTCTCTTCTTGTCTAGAGAATCCAGTTTTTCTGCAAGTTCAAGAGACATGGGCTGAGCATCTGTCATGGGCAGAGCCTCATGCTGAGGGAGCATAATTCAGCAGGAGAGACCAAGAGGGTACAGGTGTGCTGCTGCCATTTCTTTTGTCTAGAGTGCTCTTTCTTCTGGAGAACTCCTACTCATCCTTCAAAACCCAGCTCCAAATATGCCTGCTCTGGGAAGCTTCTCCTGATCCTCCTCCAAGGTTAAATTACTTGCCATGTCTTCTGTGTTTACACAGAGGATTTCTTTTTATTGCAGCCTTCTCATGGTGTTCTGTAATTATGTATTGTTCCTTGAAAGTGGAGAACATTTTGGTATTAGTTGTTTAAAGCTTCCATAACAAAGTACCACAAATTGGGTGGCTTGAAACAACAGAGGTTTATTCTGTCAACAGTTCTGGAGGCTGGGAAGTCCACAATGAAGGTGTTGGCAGGGCTATGCTCTCTCTGAAGCTTCTAGGAAAGACTCTCTCCTTGCCTCTGTTGGCCTCTGGGAGCCCCAGGCACTCCTTGGCTTGCTGCAGCACAACTCCAGTCTCTGCCTCTGTTACCACATGAGGTTCTCTCAGTGTGTCTGTGTCTCTTTCAGTCTTCTTATAAGGACACCAGTCATATCAGATTAGGGACCCATCCTACTCCACCATGACCTCGTCTTAACAAAACACCTGCAATGACTCTCTTTCCACATAAAGTCATGTTCTGAGGTACTAGGGTTAGGAATTTGACTTATCTTTTGGGGGGGAGACAATTCAGCCATTAACAGTGTCTTATTCATGATATTCCCAGCATGTAGCACAACCCTTGGCATGTAGCTGGTGCTCAGGATATTATGTCAAACGAATAAATACTTTCGTAAATGATTAAATGAGTATATAAAATACAATAAAACATGTGAGCCCCAGTGAAAGACCTGAATGGGTACTCTATGCACCAAGCAGAAGAGAGATTAATTCTACCTGGGGGCTTTCTGGGAGGGCATTTCCACGGGGTTCTGAGGAATAAGTAGAAGTTCAACTGATGGCAAACTTGGGAGGAAACAACAAAGGAGCTAAGGCATGGACGCAATGCAAGGACTATTCACATTGACCTGGTGGGCCAACTGAAGGCTGAAAGGTAGACTGTATTTTGGAGTCACATGGCTAGGAAGTGGCAAAACCAGCACTGAAACTCACATCTCTCCATTTCTAGTAGGGTATCTCCAGTATTGTGTTTCTCTCTCGCATTAAAAGTCAAGCTCCCTTTGTGGCCCCTGAAGGACCTGTGGCTCTTTCTTGAGAAGATCTTACTTGGGTCAAATCGCTGATGATTCTGTTTGAGACTTGTCTGATTTATGTTCTTACTGTGGGTCTGTGGGCCTATGTTGGTCTCCACTCTGCACGCCCATTTTTCAGATTGGAATGTGGAGGCAGGGAGTGCTTCAGTGTCTGAGCCCTTCAGGCTACTATTGAGTATAGGGAACAGAATAGGCCATGGAGAGCTACTACTTAAACAGCTCTCCCAAAGTGTCCCACATTCGGCAGTTCTTCCAGCATTTTAATAAAAGCATGTATTCTTAGGACTGTGGCAGCATGGAAATATCACCCATTAACCTCTTTCTGGGGAAAGCCCTGTGAGTAATTAACTCCACCAACTCAGCACATCAGCGAGAGGGTGTGAAGAAAAGAGATGGGTCTCAGGTGACCGACAGTCAGGAGCAGGGTTAGGAACTCAGACTCCAAGGCTGAACGTTTTGGGCTTATATCTTGGCCTCTCCATTTACTAGTCTCAGTGTCACCATCTGTGGGAACTGTGGTCGTACCCATCCTGCAGGGACTTCTGTGCATATCAGGTGAATTCACGGAGGTAAATGCTCAGAGCACCGCCGGTCCCAGCGCAGGCACCCACAGAAGTGGTAGCTGTTATTATTATTACTGGATTGAATCGAGTTTCACATCCAGAGTGAGGAGAGAACGGGTTGGAAGGTTTGGGTCTCTAATATGTTGTTCATGATAATGGTATCTTGGCACTGGAGACCTTCCAAAAACTCCAGCCTCATGTCAGCATCTCTGCCCTTGCCTGGGAAGGCTGTTTTACGATGAAAGGGGCTACTGAGAAAAAGTGAGGGGACAGGGTTTCAAAGCAGAATATTCATGAACAAAAGCCTTGAGGCAGCAGGGTGAGGACACTTAGATCTGGGAGAAAACCAGATATTTAGAAAGTAATTGCTGATCACCAGTGAGATTAGGGGAAAAGCCCCAGTGTGTGCCTGTTCTGTGTGTTTATTTCAGTCTTGCTCATCTTGTTTTTTTTTAATCTCGCTTCATGTATTCTTGTAACTGAGTTTAAATTAATCTTCTAAAACTTGCTGTTATTTGACTATTAAAAATGGCCAATAATTCAAGCTGGGGAAAATCAGAGGCTTCTCGGAGGACAGCGCCATCCTCACCATCCTCTGTGGGAAATCACTTGCTGGATGCCTGATCCCTGTTCCCCGCTCACATCTGTCCCCTCTCTCTATCAGCCCTGCCCGGACTTTGCCTGCTTTGCCTCCCTCACGGGGTTCCTGCAGCTGCTCCCCTCACTGGGCGGGGTGGGCATCCCTTCACCCTCTCCTCCCCATGAGGAACAGCTCTGCTGCTTCGGAGCTGGGAGAGTGGAGACTGGCATTCGAGGTCCCCCAGGATTTGGCCCCAACCTCCCTTTCCAAACCTCTTTCCCACCCTGCCTCAGACACATTCTCCCCTCTCGCCACACTGGACAGCTTGTATGAGAAAAGAAAGGAAAAACCATTAGGCCCCGAGTGCAAAACCACATTAAAAAAAAAAGTTCACATCTCTATAAAGTTTGTGATGCTCTTTTTTTCACTATGTTTCCTGAAATGACTTCCCAGCTCTCTCCACATACTTTTATTTAAAATTGAAGTTCAGTCCGTGACAACGTGTCTACATGTGGCGTGCCGCGCAATACCCCCGTCATGCATACACACTCATATACTCGTTTTCGTATTTTCTCTCCACATTCTATCTCCAGAGCCTCTTTCCCTCACCCGCACTATTGTCCCGGCTCCACTACGCCGGCCATTCCGCCTCCCCAGGCGTACCAGAGCAATCTGTGTCTGTTCAGAGCTTCTGCAGCTCTTGATTTTTCCATTTCTGTTGACTTTTATCATTTTCTGTCTTGTATTGTATACTTTTTTTTAATATGTCCTCTACCAAGCTCTGAATTCCTTGAAGGAATAAGCTACTTTTCATCCCTTAACTCCTTCCTTCCTTCCTTCATTCCGTTGAATGTTCAAAACATCAGTGTCTTCCTAGGTTGTGATGATACCAAGACAAAGAAGCAACTAAGACAGGTCTTTGCCTCCAAAGAGTTTGACTCATTAAAAAGTTAAATTGAAAAGTCAATGATTCTTAGCCTTTTAAGACCTTTGACCCCTTGGAGATTTTAGGGAATACTCACTCACTCATCAGCGAGAGTGTACACACAAAATGTTGTCCAACACTTGAGGTGTTTCCGGACCTTCTGAAACCATGGGACAGGTTCAGGAGGTCCGGGTCTAAGAGAACAGAGGTGAGCAGTTCCTGTAGAAGGTGCTTTGCCTGTATCATCTCTCAATCAGCACACCCGCTGGCCTGCCTGCTGCCAGCTCAGCCCAGCACAGCAGGAGGCCGAGGACACACCCTGAGGACATGCAGGCCCCGGCCACTCAGGCCTTCTCTTCCCTGCTCTGCTGAGGGATGGGGCGGTGGAGTGGAGGCTGTGATCAAAGGCAGTGGTTCTGTTTCTCTAAGGAATGGCTTCCTATTTTAGGACCTGTCACTGGAACAGGATGGCCTCCGGCCAGCCAGCCTCACTGTGGGGAAGCGACTGTATTCAGGAATTAAAATGTCACAGGCCCATCGCAGGAGGGCCTCCATCTGGGCCTCGCTGACATTTACGCCCGTGTCTGCCCTTCCAGCCCCAGAGCAACAGGAGAGGGTGAGAAAAGTCGCTCGGGCTCACCCTTTCGGAGCCATGGAGGTAAGGAGGAGGGTCAGCTCGGAGGGTGGGACTTTCGCCTCCAAAGGGCCACAGCCCCGACCTTGGATGTGGCCATCTTGGGGCATGTTTGCATGGAAGAACAGTCTAGAAGTCTCTTGTTGGGCTCTTTTCCTTTTTTCTCCCTCCAGCAGAAGATTTGTGGTATCTGGGGGGGAAAAAAAAGAAAGGAAAAACTATTAGGTCTTGAATGTAAAACCACAGGACTTTAAAAAAAGTGTTTATTTTTCTGCAAAGTTTGTTTTTCTTCCAATGGGAGCCAAGACGCTCTCTAAAGCCGGCCTCTGCTGGCAGCTGGGAGCAGTGGAAAAGACTGCTCTATATGGAAGAAGTTTGCTGATTGGGGAAGAGCAGGTCCAAGTGGAACGGGGGTCTGACTCACACATCTTCCGGCGAGTGGCTCGTGTGCGGCGGGGGCAGGTCATGTCTGAGAAGAAGGGGGACAAGGAGAACTGTCGGGGCTGGACTTCCCTGGAAAGAGAGCTTTCTGGACTTGAGGGCAGAGAAGATGCCTGCCAGCTCCCAAGAGCCTGCTGGGTGCCAGCCCGGAGTGAGGTGCTTTCCACTGGTAGTGTTTGCTCCTCCCCATGCAACTGAGTTGTTATGATAATTACCATTCCACAGCGGGGACACTGAGGCTACAGAGTATATGTAATGATCCTCCAGCTACTAAATAGTACAGCTGGGATTTGAACCGAGGTCTAGTCTGATTCCCATGTCTTTGCTCTGAAGCTCTAAGTTATATAGTGTCTTTTAAGTGACCTTGAGCAAGGGGCTTAACCTTTCTGTGCCTCAGTTTTCTAATCTGTAACATGGGTATAATGGAATTTCTTGAGGACTTGGTGAGAAGATAGGTGTAAAGCACTTGCAGTAGTGCCTTGAGCAGGGTCATTACATACGTGTTTGCTGCACTCATAGTAATGATTGTTCTTCCATCGTTCACAGGCTTGTGCTTGGCAACTTGCTGTTGAGGGACAGGAAGGAGAAAGGAGTTTTGTCCCTGTCCTCAGGTGGGGTGCCGTCTGATTGCAGGGCCAGATCTTGAGCACTAAGTCCTCCACGATGAAGATGTTCGGTCACTAGCTCCCCATTTACAGATGTGTACTGCCTGCCTGGGGTGGACCAGGCCTTCTGTCATTGCAGGGCTCACAGTGGAGGGTCGGATGTGGTCGCTGCCCTGGGGGAGCACACAGATTGCTGAGGAGAACAGATGGGTGGGCGGGTGATGACAACACAGAGTGGCTGGTGCTGTGATGAAGGGACATTCTGTGACCATGTCTGCCCCACCTTAAGGCCCTTGGCACACTGGCCTGGGTGCTGCTTCTTCCTAGAATGCCCCTCTGCCCCTCCCGTCCTCAGAGAATCCCTCCCTCTCTCAAGGACTGACTCAACTACCACCTCCTGAGAAGGCTTTCCTGACGCTCACCACCCCCACCTCAGGGTTGGGGACCCCTTCTGCTCTCTGCTCCTTGTGCACATCCCTGCCAGCCAGGACCTCCCTCTCAGCCCTGCTCTTGTCTACTCCCAGGTCGTTCCCTGCACAGGTAGGGACTCAGGTGCCCAGCATCCTACCTAGCATGTGCTCAGAGAGTCGGATGAAATTTCCATGACTCTAAATTTTCCCCTCAAAAGGAGATTTGCCTTTTTGCCAAAGGAATTGTCGGAACAGTGTGACTGGTGGGGGGCAGGAGTGGGTTGCGGCTTTTTGGCCTGACCTGGAGCACACTCCTTGGACGTGACAAACATAGGTCAGAGACCAAGCTCACCAACACTTTCACTGATGCCCTTGAGTGACTTTAATCTCAGTTTCCACATCTGTAAAAGGGGTCACAACAGGATCTACTTGTCAGGAACTGCAATGAGATTATAAAGATAAAGGACTTACCATATGGTGCTCGGCACATGGTCAGAGCCACGTTGCTGTCAATGTTGTTACCCAGGCAATGATGATAATGGCCAACCAATGCCGGCTAGGTTGGGGCATGTCAGTGGTCAAATAGTTTATCTGTCTGAGACTGATTTCCTCCAGACACGGTAACAGAGCCATTGAGGCATCATCCTCTTTGCTGGAGGAAAGAGAGATGTGTGTCTTTGTAATCATCACATTTTAAACACACAGTCCTATGGGGGCTCCTCCTCCAAGAAGCTTTCCCGGAACACACCAGCTCGGCAAACCTCTCCTCTTTGAGCTCTCTCAGCACGTAGCCTCGTGCTGCCCATTTAGCACTTGATTACATACTGTCTGGTTTGCTCTCTAATTGCTTTCTCTGTGATGGGCTTGTCTGCCTGGCTACATCACAGGATCTGTACGAATAATGATTGCATCTCATTTACGTGTCTCGAAACACCTAGCTCCATACTTTCTACCTGGTAGGAATTTAATAAGTGATATGCTGATTGGGTGTTTTACCGGTCATGAGAGAAACTCTCAGAGTGGAATTCACAGAAACAGAAATGTAAATGGCCTAGAGATGTGAAAAGATGTTTAAACTGGCATATTAGAAATCAAAGCAATGTAAATGAAGTTGAGATCCCATTTTCCTTATTTATAGGCACTCATCTAAAAATTATAAAAATGCTGGAGGCTGGGTGAGGGGAGCTCTCTCAACTGTCCTTGGTGGGAAGGTAATGTAATTCTTTCTATGACAATTTGCAGCTTATGGCAAGAGTCTAAAAAAGCCCCTATCCTCTGACTCAGTAATTCCACTTCTTGAAAACTTTCCCAGGAAATACTAAGAGACACAGACAAAGACTTATGTACAAAGATGGTCACCACATTGTTATTTTTAACAGTGAATTTTGAAAGATGTGCTAAATAAATTATGGCATAGGGGTGTAACAAGGCACACTAAAATAAGGGGTTCTTTTATTTGAAAAGATGTCAACGCCTCTGTTATAATAAGAGAAATTAAAATTAAAACAAGGCACTATTTTTAACTACAAAAATTAAAAGAATAAAAAATTCGGTCAAACACAACCTAGGAAAAACAGGCATTTTTATGTACTGTGGGGATAGTCGTCATCAATGACAATTTTGCAGAAGTAAAAATATTAAAATTTCATGCAAATGAAAAAGGGCACATGCTTTTAGAAGTTGTACCTCTAGGAATCTAATCCATAGGTATGCCCACATTAATATGCACAAATAAAGCATAAGGTTATTTATAGTGGCACTGTTTATGATAGCAAAACATTGAAAACAACTGAAATGCAAATCAGTAGAAGACTAACTAAATGAAGTAGAACTTCTTTGTGCGTAAGGGAAGTATGTTAAGTGGGGGAAAAAAAGTGTAGGGGAAGATCTGTAATCTGTAGTATTGAGTGAATAGTCATAATCAGTACATATAATATGCTTTAATTTGTGTAAAATCAATAGAAAGTATTTAGATAAAGGTATAGACATAAATATTAATAGAGAGTTTTTGGAAAGGAAGTATGTGTAGTGTCTAAGAGCACAGATTCTGTAGCCAGACTACTTGGGTTTAATACCCAGCTCTACCATTTAGGAACTGTGTGACTATGGGTGAGTTACTTAAACTCTCTGTGCTTCAGTTTCTTCATCTGTAAAATACTATATGTGTGAGCTATCATTATTATTTTAAACAAAAAACTAAACTTTAAAAAATTGAAGTATAGTCGCTTTACAAGGTGTTAATTTCTGGTGTACAGCATAGTGATTTACTTACACATATGTATATATATATATATATATGTATTCCTTTTCATCTTCTTTTTCATTATAAGCCATTACAAGGTGTTGAATATATTCCCTGTGCTATACAGTAGGACCTTGTTGTTTATCTGTTTTATATGTAGTAGCTAGTATCTGCAAATCCTGAACTCCCAGTTTGTCCCTCCCCACCCCTGTTCCCCTCTGGTAACCATAAGTTTGTTTTTGATGTCTGTGAGTCTTTTTGGTGTTATTATTATCTTTTTTTTTATGGCTGAGTAGCATTCCCTTGTATGTATATAGCACAACTTCTTTATCCAGCCATCTGTTGATGGACATTTAGGTTGCTTCCATGTCTTGGCTATTGTAAATTGTGCTGCTGTGAAAACTGGGGTGCATGTATCTTTTCAAATTAGAGTTTCCTCTAGATCCCAGGAATGGGATTGCTCGATCATAGGGTAAGTCTATTTTCAGTGTTTAAAGGAATCTTCAGACTATTTTCCATAGTGGCTGCACCAAACTGCATTCCCACCAGCAGTGCAGGAGGGCTCTCTTTTCTCCACACCCTTCTCAGCATTTATTATTTGTGGGCTTTTAAATGACGGCCATTCGGACCGATGTGAGGCGATATCTCATCATAGTTTTTGATTTGCATTTCTTTCATTTAAAAAAGTAAACTTTTGAGGGTTGTCACCTTTGGGCAGTGGACCTGGGAGCCTAATTTTCATTGTATAACTTTTGGAGCTACTTAGTATCAATGCAGACGAATTTTGATCTATGCAAGTGTTGCATCAGTCAAGATCCCAACAGGAAACAGATGGCATAATTAACCTAGGCAATTTGACAGGAGGTTAATAAAAAGACGTTTTATGAGAGTGTCGGCAGAGTTTAGGAGGCAGAACTCCAAGTCCAGCAACTGCAGGGAGCTGTAGGTAGCACCCCGAGGACTGCGGGGCCAGGGGGAGGTCATGGTTAGCCAAAGCTGGGGAGAGAGCTGCGTGGAGAGGGCTTCTGATGGGGGCTGCAGCTTTGGGGAGTGGTAGGGAGCTGACCTGCAGGAGCCCCAGTGAGAAGGGAGCCTGGGGGATAAAAACTGATCTCCTGCCATGCCTCCCTTTGGCGGGCTCAGCCAGATGCTGGAGGGCCAAGGAGCAGGTGGAGGCAGTCCATACCCACCAGCCTGCTGAGTTTGGGGCAGGGATTGGAGGGGAGGGGAGCAGATCTGGAGTGATCCCAGCATCTGGGGTAATACAAATGACCCTTACCTGAAAGTCTGTGAAAATGGAATGAATTAATACCTGTAAACTCCTGGAACATAGCAACTGTTCAATAAATGTTATTAACCACTAGCACTGGTATCATTCTCTGGGTATCAAAGCCAGATGGAGACATCCCACATGTGTATTATTTCCATAACAGTTTTTGAAAATTAAGTTTTGAAAAAATTTTCAGTGACAAAGGAAAATTCCTCTGGGATGACATTAAGAGAAAAAAAGATACACAATTTGATATTGGGAATGACTGAAAATTTGTGAGGACAAACCACAGGCGAGCAAACCACACTTACACAGGATGAAGAGTCTGGGAGAGGGTCTGAAATGTCGACCACGGTTGTCTCTGAGTGGTGGAATTGTGGGTGTGGGTGTCATACTTTTGCAAATTGTAAGAATTTCCTACAATGGCCGTATTTGTTTCTATCAAGAAAAGAGAGAGAGAGAGAAAAGGAACTTCCAGGAAAGCATGAAACACCTGACACCTTCAATGGTTCTTCACGGGTAAATAATTAAGATCTCAACCAAAAGCCTTCTTGGCAGACCCTGGACTCCCGGTTTTGTCCCCTTAGTCTTGTGAGCCTGCTGAAAGCTCAGTTCAGTTTCTCAGCCTCTCAACTGCCTCTTTTGGAGTCAGCAGATTCACTCAGGGAAAAAGCGACCTCAAATGCTAAGTCCAGCTGTTTGAGATCCCTTCTTATTTCAGTTTTATAATTCTTCTGCCTTATTGGCTCCCCAGTGCCTTCAAATACATGTGCTTTGTTGTTATTGTTCAGCTTTTCTGGTTTTTCTTATCAGGAAAGTTTGGTCTGAATTAACTACTTTGCCAATACCGGAAGTCATATTGAATTATCTGTCATAGCAACAGTAATACAATTAGGATGACTTGAGCACGGTGGTGTGCTGGTAAATGTTTAAAATGATCTTTCAAACAATGCACATATATACAAATATGCTTATTATAAATTGTATTGATATAAAAATGTGCAACACACAATTTACAAATAATAATAAAATATACACTGTTTTTTATTGTTAATTCCATATAGCCAGTTAATTCTTCTAGAATGCTTTTGGTGATTTTGTATTGAGCCTGTGGCTGCAATGGATGAATGAGCACAGTTCTGACATAGTCTTGTTGATAATTTTGTTTATATTAACAAGGGAGATGCAAGTAAAACAACAAAGATGCATGCTGGAACTTTACTCATTCATCAGTGATGTGAACAAATTTTTTGCTAAATCATGTAACAGTTTTTGAATGCTGGAAGAATAATTTCTCTACTTGTTGTGTTACAGCCATGACATACTTCTAAGTTTAATTTGTATTATTAACGTCTTCTCCATCACTTTCTTAAATCTAGATGATCAACGAAACAATAAATGAAATCCTGATTGGTAGCTCTGCCAATTTCCAAGGTGTAAATCAACCATGGTCAAATATAAGCTACCAATGGGACATCAGCGCAGCACACAAGAATTGTGTGGGGAAGTGCACAGTCGTATATCATTGTATGTACTTCCACAATACAGAGACAATACATGCAAATACCCTCAAGAGGAGAGATTATAGTAAAATGTAAGTAACTAGGAAATGGTGGGTTTTGAGTATTATGATTCTTTGAAATACGATGTCTTTAATTGTAAATTCATATATTTTAATTTATATAATTTAATTTACTAGTAACTGTTTTTAACAATGCGTTCATATAATTCCTGAAAATTTAGCAGTCAGCTCTCAAGGTGGTATAAGCTGCCTCCAGCACACCAGCTGACCACCAATTACTGAACTACCTCTGTGACAGGCACCAGGCCAAATTCAACGCATTCATTATCTCATTTAATCAAAACTACGTAAAGAAAGCTCAGATATGCCCTCTTTCTGAAGGTGCAGATTCTGAGACTCAGAGAAGTTAACTACTTTGTCCAAAGACACACAACTTGAATCCAGGTCTGTCTGACTCTTGATCATTGTTGGTGATGATGATGGTGGTGGTGATGATGGTTATAGATAATATTTAATACTAACTTTGTATCTGTGCTTTACCTAGATTAGTTCCTGTAACCCACTTAATTTTTTTAACCATCACTTTCGTTCTCCTCTGCAGTCAATGCAGCCAGTACTTCAGGGACACAGGAAATTCTTCTGCAGGAGGCAGCACCCAGAGGATGGGATAGGGACCAGGAGCCAGTGATGGTCAGATGGCAGGAAAGGGTCATTTTCCCTTGCCTGGTCTGGGCTTTGTGAGCCTCTCTGGATGATTTGCAGGGAATCTCTGAGGCACTGTTTGTCATTGTGATCCTATCTGCATGCCGAGTGGGCCCTTCTGGAAGTCAGGTCTGAGCGCCACCCAGAGGAAGCATGGTCCCTCAGGCAGGGCTGTCCAAAGAGGAGTGGTCCCCCGGAAGGGTCATGAGTTCTCTGCCCCAGGAGGTGAGAACAGAGGTGAGGAGCCCTCGCAGGGAGGTTGTGAGTCCTCCTTGTCCCACACCCGACGGCCAGGCCAAGACTCCTGCAGAGAGGGAGAGATCTGACCCACCTTCAAATCCTGTTAGCTCTGCTGCCGGTGATCTAGAACATGACCATTTCTCACCACCTCCACTGCTACCACCCTGGTTCAAGCCCCCCACCCCAATCTCTTGCTGGGACCATGGCAGGCAGTCCCCATCTAAATAAGGTCAGTCATTTCATGTCACTCCTCTGCTCAAACCCTCCACTGACTCCTGTCCCACTTGGAGCAGAGCCAACACCTACAAGGCCTATGGGGCTGGCAAGGGCTGCCTCTCTCCATCCATCTCTGCATCTCTGTGTCTCTGTTTCCACAGCTCATTCTGTGTCTCTGTGCTTCACCGTCCTCTCAGCACAGGAGTGCTCCATTGCCCCCCTGGACTCTGCCTGGCCTCTGCCCACCAGCATGTGCTCAGGCTGAGGCCTGGAGCTGAGGAAATGCATCTGTCATTTCTGATGGAAAGGGCCCCCCCCCCGGAGGCCTCTGCCCCTCCTCCCCTGCTCCCCCTCGCCTGCCGATGAACTCTGGGAGCACCTGAGGGAGAGCCGCTTGCCAGGAAGAGGGTTCCACTCCGGAGCAGCTTTCCAAGGAAAACATCGCCTTGATAGATCGTGTGTTGGGAGGGAGCTAGTTCCACACACCATAAATTGCCAGGCCGACCTCCCCTGCAGGGCCCCTGGGGTGGGGAGCCCCCAGGTTGAAGTTTTCCTCCTAGCCTGGTCTGCACAGCTAGACTTGGTGCCTGGAGGGGGGACACCAGGGGGCCAGGGTGCAAGTGATGCTCAAGGATATCGGACGTCCAGGCCAAGACCCCTAGAGAGAGGGCGCGACCAGATTGGGCCAGGCCCGGGGAGCTGGAGCAGCCCTAGGGGCTCCCTGGGGCCCTGTAGTTATAACATGTGTTCATGATCAGCACCTCTGGGTTCGCAGATCATGGGGATCTTTTTAGCTTTAGATTCAGAGAGGGGCAATGACTGTGAAAGGCCCACAGCAAATTAGAGGCAGAACTGAGAATATCTGACTCGAAATTCAATCCCTCCTCCCCTCCCCGCTCCATTTATAGTCAGAGAAGTCTCCAGGAGGAGATAGGTGTTTGCTAGGGCCTGAATGGTGAGCAACATCATTCATTCATTCATTTAGTCACCAAGCATTTCCCAGGTCTCTACTCCATGTGAGGTGTTCAGAGGCCACAAAGGGGAATCAAATGTTTCCTACCTTCAAGGAACTCACAGTCTGAGGGCTGACACACCAAGGTGAAAAGTGAATTGAATTGTATGGAAAGTACCAGTGGGAACTGGGAAAACTTAAAGGATAATCTGGGGAGCACTAAAGACCCCTTGCAGGTGGGAGGGGGGCAGTTAGGGAAGGCTTCCTGGAGGAAGCTGTTTGTGAGCACCACTAGGAGGAAGGGTATTGCAGGCAAATTGAACAGACTGGAGGGAGGGGAACAGCGAGAAGCAGAAGAAAGGAAAGGATGGTGAGGGTCCAGGTCCCTAGTGGGAGGTCTGAGGAGGGGAAGCTGGACTTTATCATGAGGACAAGAATATCATGAGAGTGTTGAATCATGGTACAGGCAATATAGTCTCAGATTTGCATTTTAGATTTGGAATACATGGAAAGGATTGGTGGGGATTCTGGAAGAGTGATTACGATGGCTTAGAATCCTGTCTCAGCCACAAAGCAGCTGTGAAACAAGTTAACTTCTCTCTGCCTGGGTTTCTTGTTCTTTAAAAAGGGACTAATAAAAATACCTGCCTCTTAGAGCTGTTCTCGAGATGAGATCATCCGAAGGCCCATGGTGGCTGTTAATGTCATAGTGGGTGCGAATCTAAGTCCACGATTTAGGTGTGCATGACAGAGTGAGGCCCTGCGCTGCCTAAATAGGTATTTAATGCTCACTGAGCTAATAGGAAATGTGACCTCGGTCACTCTCGGTCCAGCTCTGCTGATTCCAGGATGTTACACTGTGCGAAGGTGGGGAGGGGGCTGCTCTGATTGTCAGTCTGCTGGATTCTCAGCTTCGTCAGAGCTGTCCCTTGCCCCTGCCCCATGGCTCCTTCTGGCCTGGTGGCCCTGGGAGGCTCCAGTGTGTACTCAGGGATATCTTCCTGGACGCACCTCCCACAGGCACGCTCTCACCTTTGGTCTTAAGTCTTCTCTGCTTGCAGGATTCACAGGCTTTGCTATGTTCTTCCACAAGGCCTGGGTCTGAAGAAAATCTTTCTCTTTTTCAGCTTCTCTGCACAGCCCTCTCTCTCTTCTTAAAAGACAAGCTAGGAGCTCTTGCTGGCCATGTGCTGTTTTTCTGACCCTACCACACAGCTCCCTGGGGGGCGAGGAGCACAGAGCCATTCCCCGCTGGAGGAGGAAGAAACTACACGGGGAGGAATAAAATGTCATAGTTACCTTAACATACACACGGGAGGCAGGGTTGCATCACACAAGCTAGGGTCTAACTGTCCAACAGAACAGCCTGTATAGGGACAGAGAAGTGGGGTGGAGAGGGTGGGGAGGGGGAGGAAGCAATCCATTCTGGGGGAAGGGGACAGGAACAGGTCCAAGGGGAGCTGCTGCTGGCTTTTCCCTTTCCCTGCCCCTCATGGCTTTTGGCCTATGCTAGCTGGCAGTGCCCCCTGCCCGCCCCTTCAGGAAGCTCTTCCCGCGAGCAAGTCTGCCTCATGAGAACCAGCAGCTAAGACCTCTCCCCAGCCCTCAGCCCAGGCACAAACCCTGTCACTGCTCCGGCCCTGGGACACTCCCTGAAGAGGACAGACACGTGTGCAGACTCACAGTTCCAGACTTGGGTTCACACACTCAGACACATGAGGACAGGCACACCTGGTATTCATGTGTGCATGTGGAGACACGCCCACCCAGCCTCTGTTCAGAAACATTTCAACATGTGCCACTCACAGCCTGCTTTCCTGCCTGCAAATACACTCAGAAACATGTATTCACACAGAATCACAAATGCAAAAGTCAAAGTGCACATATGTGGACACACACGCTCGAGTTCATCTGTGCACAGACGTGTGTACCCACAGATTCATGAGTGCACTGACATATGTAAGCATCAGACACACACGTGCTCATATACTTACTTGATCAACAAATATTCACTGAGAGCCTGATGCTGGGTGTCATAGGATGCTAGGCCCCAGAGAACAAGACAGAGTCCTTCAGGTGGTGTGTAGTCTGCTTGGGCCGTTATAACAAAGTACCCCAGTGGGCGGCGTAGACAACAGACATTCATCTTCTCACCATTCCGGCGGCTTAGTCCAAAATCAAGGTGTTGGCTGCACTGGTTTCCTCCGAGGCCTCTCATCCCCGCTGTGAGTGGCTGTCTTCTCCCTGTAGCTTCATGTGGTCTTCGCTCTGTGTGTCTGTGTCCTTATCGCCTTGTCTTAATGAGGACACCAGTCCTATTGGTTCATGACCTCACTTTAACTTAAAATTATCTCTTTAAAGGGATCTCCATCTACAAATAGAGTTACATTCTGAGATACCATAGGGGTAGGGCTTCAGCATATGGATATTGAGAGGACATAACTCTGCCCAAAGCAGGAAGCTGACCTCTTATAGGGAAGATAGACCCAAGAAGCAAAAACATAAAATGACTCAACTCTGATAAGAGGTATGAACAGACAGGGGCTGAGTGGAGTGGCACCTTAGACAGGGCGGTTGGGTAGGGTCTGCAAAGCAAGGGCCTGTACTTGACACCTGCCGTGCACTCGACCAAGGCCAAGTCTGTCCACCTCTGAATTGCAGGCCTGGCCTGAAGTGTGGCCCAGCAAGGGCGAACAGTTGAGTAGACCAGCGAGTGTGGCGCTCCCTGCAGTTGAAGAGATCTCGCTCCTGTGTAGGAAAGCCCTGAAGGAGGGGCAGACAAGGAGACACCCAGGGCCTGAGTGCCTGGGTGGTCGGACAGGGTGTGGATGGCCTGGCAGGAATCTAGAGCCTGAGCCTGAGAGGAAAGTAGGAGGGAGGGAGATGCCAAGCGCTGCCCTGAATGCCTGTTCTGGGTCTGCTGTGTGACTTTGGGCCTGTTACCTAACCTTTCTGAGCCAGCTCCCTCATCCGTACAATGGAGGATAAAGTGTTAGCTGCCTCAAGGAATTGCTGTGAGGATTAAATGAGAGCATGCATGTGAGATGCTTAGCACATTGCCTAGCACATAATTAGTACATAATAAATGCTAGCCAATATTGCCACGATTATTGGTACTCTTTCTGGAAAGAAAACACACCACACACCTGAGTCATTCTTGGCTCCACATCTCCCTTACCACACACATCCACCAACCACCCAGTTCTTGCTGATTCTGCTCCTATGTGGGCCTACGGTCCAGCACACCTCCCCCATCCCCTTGGGGACAGCCCCATCATCTTTCATCTGGACATCCCACCAACTTCTCCCTTGATTTCCCAGCCTCCAACCTCTTGCTCACTAGTCCAGCCTCCAGAGAAACTCTCTAAACTGCAAATCTAATCATATGACTTCCAGGCTTAAAAGCCTCCAGAACTCAATACCACCCACATGATAAAGGGCATTCAAGACCTTTCAGGCTCTGGCCTCAAATTCCAGCCATGGTCAACATACACCATCCCCCACTGGCATACTGCCCATACCCCAAATATCTCAGGTTCGCTCAGACTTCTGGGCCTTTGCACATACTCTTCCCTCTACTTGGCAGGCCCTTCCCAACTGCTCTGCCCTGACAGCTCTCACTAACCTTCCTTCCAGATTGAGCTGAAGGCTTAGGAAGTCCTGTCTTGGCCAGAGTCAACTAACCCCCTGTGGGGCTCCTGGGAGCCAGGCCTGCTCTTCTGCCCTGCTGCTGTTTTGAACGCCTTAAGATCAGGAATTTGCCCTGCTCTTTGTATGTCCCTGGCACCTGCACAGTGCCTGGCTAAGTAGGTTCTTAGAACATTCTTTGAATCACTGAATGGAGACCTGACTCTGTGAGGCAGAGACAGTTCTCTTTGTTTTATAGACAAGTAAACTGGAGTTCAAAAAAGCTAAGCCATCTGCCCAAGCTTACATAACCAGGTGAAATCATGTTCAGATTCCCTTCCACACAGTTTTCTCTGCCTGGATTTCTCTCCCTTCCCTCTCTTTTCTGGCTCATTCTTTAGGCCCAGATGAGGTATCACTGCCTCTAGGAAGCCCTCCAGGGTTTTTCTTCTGGGCCCATCCAGCACTTCTTTCCTCACAATACTGCAGAGTGGACTATCTCTTCCATATGGATTATGAACACAGGGCCGAGCACTGCCTCTAGGGTGTTCAGGGTCTCTGTCAATAGAAACAATGAGTCACCCCCAAATCAACACGTCAGCGCCATTCTGGAGACCCAATTTTGTGGGCACCTACAAAAGAAATATCACATTGGCTAGTGGAAGTGATCCATTTGCCAGGTGGCTCTACTAGGAACTAGGAGCAGGACCTGGCCATAAGGTCCCAGGACCAACCTGGGGAAGTGAATGCTGGAGCTCTTCAGTGCATCTGGTCGACCTCATGCATTAAGCAGAGGGTGGAAAAAGCCTGGAGGGGAAGAAACAGACCAGAGTCCCTGCAGGTCCAGGCTCAGTGTCCCACTTTATGGCACTGTCAGCTCTGGGCAATCCCAGGCATCGTAAAGGGACTTGGAAAATTTTGAGGAAGGCACTCCGACATGTGGGGCTGCCTGAGGAGTGGGGCAAGAGCAGGAGTCCTGCTCGCCCAGGTCAAAAAACAGTACTGTTAGGGACCATATCCATCCTGTTCACCACTGGGACAACTTAGCCTTGGGACCATGCACATGGCCAAACCCAGTATGAGCCTATGGAGTAATGGAGTTATTTAAAGTGTGGGTGGCATTAACAGAAGAATAACGTCTCAATCAAGGGAGGTCAGGATCTGCTATGTTCTGCCGACCAGTCCACATCTAGAATTAGGTGATCAGGGATGAGTTCCATGTGTGAAGAGGAACAGGAGGGCATTGGATTATGTTTAGCTCTTCGAGGGATTATTACAGAGAAGAAAAACTGAATTAATATTGTGAGAGTCCAGAGGGCAGAACCAGGGTAGGGGATGCAAGCGGGGAGATTTCAGAAAGTATCTTCTAATCTCAACTCTCCAGAAATGAACTAAGTTGCCTGGGGAGATAGTGAGGTGTGCAAATAGTGGGCGGATGGGCCACCCTCTGAGAGGCTTCAGGGAAGATTCCCACCCTGGGAGTGGTTCAGTTAAACTCCCTGGAAGGCCCTTTCCAACCTAAGCTTCTGAGACTAACCCTTCCTTGAGAATCTATCTTGTGTGGGTATCATGAGGGTGATAGGAGAAGAGAGATGGAGCCCCGGCCCCCAGGTGCATGTGTCATTATGGGGGGGAGGGTGGGTAGCGGAGGTTCTAGGTCCTGTGAAAGCCTAGAGGGAGGAGCCATCTTGCACCATGACCACGATGATGCCTTTGAAGCCCGAGGATGTTGGCATTCAAGAGCGGTGCTGTCCAATTGAACTTTCTACGATGATAGAAATGCTTTTTATCTGTGCTATTCAATATGATAGCCCTCGAAATGTGGCTAGGAGACTGGATTTTTTATTTGATTTAACTTTAATAGCCATATTGGTGATTGCTCACTGTATTGAGCAGCACAGAATAGAATATTTCTATCATTGCAGAAAGTTCTATTGGACAGAACTGCTCCCGAAAGTTTCAAAAGAGGCTTCTGCCCTGAGGAACTTTCCTTTCCTTCCCTCATCGTGTCAGTAATACAGAGTAGACCCCAGACTGGGAGGCAGAGCACCTACTGCAGCACTGGACAGGCTGGCTTGCTGTGTGACTTTGGGTAAATGCCTCACCTCTCTGGGCTATAGTGTCAATAAAACGAGATGTCAAACTTTAATAGGGCTTTTCAAATTTTATGTTGTTAAATAAATACTTGCAGGATCTGGGGTTTGAAGATTCCTCTTCTCTTCACTCAGGAAAGAAAAGGAAGCCTTCACTCCTTACCCCTCCTCCATCCACCTCCCCCTTTCCCTCTATTGCCCCCAGACTTCCACCACCCAGACCTCAGCTCCCAGCGACCCGAAGAACTTTTGTATTTACCGCTTAGCACTTGCTGTACGGGTCTATGACCTCCTTTAGAAACTTTTTCTTTATGAGTTTATTTTGGCTTGTGCTGAGCATTCATAAAATTCCTAGGGAACTGGAGGTTTAAAAGTCGGACTTGTAAAAGGAGTAGGTGGGAGGGGGTGGGAACCGGGCAGAGAGGGGAGGGGATGGCAGCCAGCCCTGGGACGCAGGAGGAAAAGGCGAAGTCTTCCATTCTCCTCTCTAGGCCTCCCCACCTGTGAGCTCTGGGTCTTTGGATCATAAAAGGGGAGAAGAGGTGGAGGAGAGAGGAGAGGGTGAGTGGGGCGAGTTGGGAGGAAGGAATTGGAGGCACGGAGGCTGAGATGTTCCCAATGGGCGAGCAGAGCTGGGCCCGGGTCTGATAAGGAGTCCCTCTGGCCTGTCTCAGGTTTTTCTTGTCATTCATCTCTCCTTTGGCCCTGGCGGCTCCTCAGCAGGTTGGAGACACTGGTGAATGGCTCAGAGAGCATGGGGCATATGAAACAAATTAGGTCTCCGTTACAGCCACCCAGAGGCGGGTGATGGATGGGGGCCTGCGTTCACGGCAAAGCTAATTGGCAACACACAGAGACATCCAAGAAAGTATATTATTTTGCCAGACTTTGCAGTCATTGGGCTTTCTTTTTTCAGTTGTAGAACATTATACAGCCAGAGATAAAAAGCACAGTGAAAGTTTTAAATCTAATAAAAGCATTTGACTGTGGAGTAAAAATAACATACACAGAGAAGTTTGATTTGGATTCAGGTTTTATTAATGCTCTTTCATTGCAAAATGTTTCCAATTAAAAAACAATTCCGAGGGCACTACATTAATAAACTGCTTGTCTTTTAGAAGGGCCAGAGGTTTTGAAATGCAGTGGTGGACAAATATACACATATATACACACAGTGCTACCAGGGGGTTCTTACAACACCACCTAATATTTTCCAAATTGGGGTTTGTACAGCTTAGAACTGGAGAGAGGTGAAAAACTTCACGGCTGAGCTTGGAGAAAAAGCTCCTGAAGTTTATTGAACATCACCCTGATCCAAGGACCCCCAAATCATACACAAACCCATGTCACCAGCAGGGATTAGCAATGACTGGAATATTCTAGGCCTCAGTTCCCCCACTTACAAAATGAGGCTGTGGGGTTCAGTGGTCTGTGGGGATTTCAGGATTCCTCCAGGGAAACCCTTATTTATTGTCCCCAAAGGTTTCTTAATTCTTGCCCTAAGAAAAGTTCACTCAATCTGAAATTGACTAGCAATAAGGAAACCAAACCTCGGTTGAAACCTGTCAAACCAGGGGTGCTTGTGCCAAGTTGTTTGTAAAGAGTAACTAGTAGTTTGACTGACTCCAACTGGACGTTCACAGAATAACCAGCCATCTGCATGATACAGTGGTGGTGGGAGGGGATGTCAGATTATTTTTAATGGAGTGGTTTTCAAAGGAACTTCGTGTTTGCAAAGTGAGTGATAAATTAATCGGTTCCTTGACTAATTCCTAACAAGTTGTTTTTATAATAACTGGTCATTTTCAATTCAAGCACGTGTTTAACTATCCAACCGTTTTGTTTTCTGCCCCCATAGGAGTGGAGTTTTAATGCTAAAGAGGAAATACAGTTCTAACTCGGTGCTTTTTAGGTGACTTGAGCTGTTTGTCTTCCAAGGCCTGGCCTATGTGGGTCTGTTTGGGGGAGTTAATGCCTCCTTGGCAGACCTCTCCCACACTGATTCATCCCGGGGGGCCCAGGAATGCTGGTCATAAACCTAAAAATAAGCACCTCTTTCCCCAAAGGTAAGACGTTCTGTCTTGGTTCCGGGAGGGTGTCAGAGAGGGCTGGGCTCAGGTTTCCGGCTGTTTGTAGATTTGGCAGCAGAAGCCTTATCCTCGCCCCCTAACCCCCCACAGCCATCTCTCCCATCCAATCGCCAGCCCTCAAAACCCAGAGTCACTCGGTCAAGACAGACCCCCAGGGCCGGGTTTCCAGGGCTCTCGCGACCCAGCCCAGGGCCCAGAACAGCTGGCTCAGCGCCAGCTTAAAAAAGCTCCTCCTGGATCCGCCTTTCAGACAGAACCGAGAAAGGGAATTAACTCGTTTCTCCTCGTGGTGGCCAAGCTCTGACTCCAGCTTACCCTTCACACACCTTCAGTGTCCCACATGGTTTCCGGGGGCCTGGATAAAGGCCACAAAGTGCAGTGTCGGGGCCAGGCCTGGTTTCCCGCGGAGAGTCAGCCCACCTCTCGGCCCAGCCGCATGACCCGACGACCCCGCCCGCCCCTCTGTCCCGGCCCCCCACACCCACAACGCCTTGGAAGGTTGGCTTGGTCTGGCAGTGACCACCGCCCCGGGGCTCCCTCCTCTCCACCTTCCCAGGGCCTGGATGGCCTTTGAGTAAACAGATAGCCCAGCGAGGTATGTGATCAATTAGCTTTGCTGAAAATACAATCATTTTGTTATTCCAAGCTGATGAGAAGGCCTCTTCGGCCTGCTCTCCCAGCCTCCACATGCCAATCAGCCCGTGTCACCGATATAATTTTCCACATAAACACAACCTTTGTGCAACATCTACTCTTGTAAATAGATGTAATTCCCAAACCAAATAACGCACTTGGAGGGGAAATGGATATTATGCATGCAAAAAGAAAAGCCGGCGATTTTTACACTTTCCAGGCAACAAAAGATTACCCCTAATTGCTACGGGGGAGGGGGGTGGGCAAGCTAGGGAGGTAGCGGCAGTGCTGCTGGGAAGTAGGGAGGCCAGCTTCCAGGCGGGGCTTTTTCTTCCCTCTGCACATGTGTGAGAGCGGACCACCAGGAACTGCTTAGCCCGGGATTTGTCCTGTTTAGGCATCGGGGAGAACGTGGTTGTTGTTGATATCTTAAAGGAAACGGCAAGTTACTTAATTATAAGGTTTGGTCTCCCTTGCCAGGAGGGACCCCCCCACTCCAAACCTGAAACTGTACACATCCTGTTGCAGAAATGTCCCCGACATTCCTGGGCGGGAAGGGCCCCAGTGGGCTGGGGAGTGTGTGAGTTCCTCTGAAACGCCCTGGTGTGCCTTTCTCAGTGTTCTGCTCGTTTAAGTGGACCCCTGAATTAGACCTTGAAAGCAGCAGAAGTTCCCGGTCGCCCGTAGGGAGAACGCGGCAGAACCCACTGTGTAATCCCGGCCAGGCTCTGGGCTCAGGCTGCCTCCTGGGTCTCCTAGTGCCATGGAAATGAAAGCAGGGACGCCCCTTCCCGTGCCTGTGGTTTTCTGTGGCCCCTGGTGTTGCAGGGAAAAGCTCTTTAGGGTCACAGTCAGCCCGTGTGAGGGTCCAAGGCCAGCCACGGGGGACAGGGGTGCTCCCAAGGGGGCCAGCAGCCCACAGGAGGAAGCGGCAGGCTTGCATGGGGCCAGTGGCTCCAGGGGCAGCATCTCCCAGGACCCTCCGCCGAGCCCACTCTGGACCAGGTAGTGTGACACACATTCGAGCTCTACCCAGAGGTGGCATCTGGGTAGTGACAGAGTCACAGAAGATGTAGTCTCTGACAAGGATTACTTCTGTCTTTTGCAAAGTCACTTCTATTAGCAGGTGAGTAATGACGTCTTGGTCTCAAGAAGGCCTTGATGCTTTCACATAATGCTTCTGGGTCTTTATTTCACCTCAGTTCAAAGCAGTGAGTGAGGAGTTAGAGGAGATGCGTTTGTACACTCAGAGAGCAGTCATGGGTGAGCAGAGAGGAACCAGCAGAGTGACCGCGGGGTCCCTTCTAGAGGGCTGGGCAGTCCCAGTAACACTTAAGCTACAAAAGATTTTTCTTTCTGACCCCCGCCCCGACTCCTCTCCTCCCCCTGCCCGTGAAAGTCGCCTAAGAACCCCGATCCCCCAGCTTCCATCCATCCCGGGCTCCTGAAGTCCATCTGAAACTCATTAGCTGCTTGAAATGATTGTCATGGGAGCCCCTGATGGAGAACAAGAAAGGAGAGGGATACTTTTAAAGGACAGCAGTCGGGGCCCAAATGCTGGCAGATGTTTGGAAACCTGGCCATTGAGAAGGGGCCTCCTGGAGGCGTGGGGGCCACTCCTGACCCTGGGCCTGGCCCCACCTCCACACGCCTTTGTCTTGCAGCAGCTCCTGAGCCCAAGCTGCGCAAACCGGCTGTTTTCTGGTCTCCTTCACTGAGGAGGAGAGACCTGCTACCCTGGGACCTGCTACAACCCGATTCAGAGGACAGCTGTACTGGTCATTTGATTTAGCTCCAGCTTAATTCACGTACTTTGTAGATGAAGCAGATTTCTGTTTGTAATAAGGAAATCATAAAATAGAAGAAATGTTGGAATTATGAGAGTACACAAAATTAAAATCATGGAACTAAGAATTGTGGAATTATAGACTCTTTAAAATATACAACTTGGAATAAAAATATCTTTGCCTTGTAGGATCTTAGAAACCCAGAATGTTAGAATACGTTTAGAATATAGATTGTTAGAATTCTTGAAAAAATAAATGTATATAATCACAGAAATGATTTAGATTCTTAGCAGCATATAATATTAGAATTATGGAATTTTAGTATTATGGAGTCAGAATTTCATAATATAAAAATTATAGAGCATTAGAAATACAGAAGAGTAAATTTATAGAACTCTGGAAGCATGGTCTCTTGGAATCATAGAATGCAAGAATGGTGGAATGTTAGAATATTAAATTAAGGAAACATTGAATGATAAAATCTTAGAATCACAGAATATTGGCAACATGGAATGGTAAAATTAGA